TCTCAGCATTGGTCGGGTGACCAGGCCTCCATTTATACTATGGTCGCTTACTACAGAGTGGATGAAAAAGTATGCCATAAATCGTTCGCCATCATTGCTGAAGGAGTTGTTAAACATGATACTCATGCTGTGTACATCAATCATAAAATATTAATTAGCACTCTGCAAAACGACTTCAATTTACAGCCAAAGAGGATCATTTATTTTACAGATGGGGCCGCACAGCATTTCAAAAACAGATTTAATTTTTTAAACCTAAGCAATCATTTTCAGTATTTTGGTGTCGCCGCAGAGTGGCACTTTCATGCCACATCCCATGTCAAGGGTCCGTGCGATGGTATTGGTGGGACCATCAAACGGCTCGCCACAAGGGCCACATTGCAGGGTCCTTCTGATAAGCAAATAATTTCAGGGCGACATTTGTATGACTGGTGTGTTGCTAATATGCAGAAAATAACAGTAAAGTATGTGACGGAAATGGCATGGGTTACTGCAAAAATATTGTTACGAAAAAGGTTTGACAATGCAAAAACTGTTGAAGGCACACTGCAGTACCATAGTTTTGTACCCTGCGGGGATTACAGTTTAGAGGTAAAACAGTTTTCTTTTTCTACAAAAAAGCGTATTGTCAGTACAAAGAAGTGATGTAATTGTGTATAAGAGTGTTCTATAGTCGGAAAAATATTTTGTATAGACACAAATAAATGACTATGCTCACTAAACGTTCAATACTTTACTTTTCATGTTCTGTGCCTACATACACTTTTAAACCGCGCGCGGTGCGGGCCTTGCCCTGCCGAGCCGCGCCGGGCTGGGCCGGGCCGGCCGCGCGCCGCTGGCTCGAGCGTCAGGCGACGCTCCGGGCGCTTTGCGTTCGGCCCCGTAGCGACGCTTGTAGGCGTCTGCCCATGATACCGAAAGTAGGTTCGTACAGGAAATTGAACGGGCTTTCGAATGAGCCCACTCCCAAGAAAATCAAAGGTGTCATACTTGGCCAAAATCCGATTTTGAAACTAACAAGCAGGCACGCCCTTCCGCCAAACGAAGTTGCCAGCTCCACTTCGCTCCGCCGGCAACTCCGTTCGGCAGGGGCCGGGCTTGCTTGGCCTGCCGGCGGCGATGGTCGGGCCTGCGGCCCGACCATTTCTGTCACGCGATTTGCTGAAGAACATGATCAGATGATGTAGCGGGCCTTCGGCCCGCTTAAACCCGTCATCTTTGAGTTTGCCCCAAAGACTTGAAAAGGGGACGTAACGGTGAAGCACCGCGACTACAACCCACCCTCCTGCTTAGAAAACGCTTTTTGGGGGTGGGGGAAAGTTTCCTTTCTATTTTGCGGTTTTTAGGCCTTTTTTCTACATCTTATTGTTCACTATGGCAATTTTTAGCTTATTTTCGTCTAAAAAGACCCTCTAGCGCGTAAACGGTTAGAGATAGCGCAAAACGGACGAAATTTTCGCCCAAGAGACTCTACTTTCAGAAGGTACCCTTTAGGGGACCATCCAATATTTTCGAAAATTAATAAATTTATTTTTGGGCCACTTTTGTGAGAGAAACTCACTCTAGCGCCCAAACGGTGAGAGATAGAGCCAAACGGACGAAATTTTCGCCCGAAGGGCTCTACTTTCACAAGGTTCCCTTTAGGGGATCATAAAAAAAATATTGTTTTTTCCTACTTTTTTGTCCTTACCTGTTTTCTTCGATACCCCCTTTCAGCCCCTTAGGGGTGGCTGACAGGATTTGCCGTAGGCGTTTTGTTTTGTGGGAGTGA